CAAGCCTCATCAGCTATTGCCAAATTTAACTGGGCAATTTAATTTTTTACAGGAGAACTTTTGTGCGGGTTTCTTTGAAAATTTTAAGGAATTTGCTTCGTAGTATGCAAATGATTCACAGAAATTGGCATTAAAACCCGCACAACCTTTTCCATGTAAAAAATTAAATTGTACACTTGAGTTTGGCAGTAGCAGATACGACTTTGGTTCCTTTCTACTTTCCAATTTCTGATCCATCCGTAAAAGCTCTTACGTCCACAGGGAAACTAATGTTACTGACATTGTTTCTGAAAGGAGCTGGAGATTTACGTGAAAACGGTTGGGCAGATTTTTGTGAAAATTTCAGTGAATTTTTTGCATAGTGTGAGGCAAATTCCTAAAATGTCTTAAAATTTTCAAAGGACACCTAACTTTCCGCACGAACGTTCTCTTGTTTAAAAAAACTAAATCTCCCAGTTATTGTCGATAGCTGATGCGCTTTGATTCCTTTCTGCTTAAATGTGGTCCACTCAATAACTATTGGGTAACTTCCAAGTTTTTCATAAGAGAACGTATATGCGGAATGTTGTGTGTTCTTCGAAAATTTTAAGGAATTTGCTTCACTATTCTATGGGGAAAACGAAGCCAAAAAGTTCCATAATTTCAATTGAAGACAACAATTTTGAACTCTAATAAATACATGGCCGGATTCACCTACTTGCCGCTTATGGGCCGCCTGTATTTTGCCGCCCCCTTCTCATTCGTTTTGAAACTCGATAAAAACCATCAAATGAACGTGTCAGCGGGGGAGGGGTGCATAAAACGCATTTACTCGTTTTGTACACATTTTTTTGGGAAAGCCCTGTCAACACTACTAGCAAAAGTTCACGGAACTTTGCGCAAAAGTTTAGTTCCGTAAACCTATGTCTGTGTGGACAAGGCCTTCCATTCATAAGAAATGGACGAAAAAATTATGATAGAACAAACATAAATGTGGATCAATGCTTTTAAGGCCTTCCATTCATAAGAAATGAACAAAAAAATTATGATAGAACAAACATAAATGTGGATCAATGCTTTTAACTTCCGCCGCCGACCGCTGCTGAACGCACTGTGTCAGACGCAATGCGTGAAGTATTCACGCAGTCTTGTAGGCGCTGTGCGTTTCACGCTGACCGCACGGTGTTTGGCGCAATGCGAGAAGTATTCATGCATTCTTGTAGGCGCTATCCGTCTCACGCTGACCGCAATGACCGCACTGTGATTGACGCAATGCGTGAAGTATTCGTGCAGTCTTGTAGGCACTAATATGTGTTACATGCCGATCGCCGAGCCGAGGGCTTCTCCTTTTCATCTCAAGTCCTCCTTATCATTTCTCCATAAGTCGCGCCGTTCCAGGCCAAATTGCGTGTTTGGTTTCTCTCTTAACTCGACTAATTAAAGGTGCTGTCTCTTGTATTCACTGAAAGACGAAAAAATTAGAAATTACTTTTCTCCCAGGATATGAGAGATTTTGTAGCCTTTTCTCGTTTGTAGTTTTTCTTCTAAATCCGATTTTTTTATTACCTACATTTGAAAAAATTGCAAAATCTGCCGCCCCCTAGATTTGCCGCCATGGGCCGCGGCCCATGTGGTCACCCCCTAAATCCGGCCCTGCTAATAAATATTAGTACACGACTAAATTAATTAAATGATTTTTAAAAATATTATAGAAAATTAAACAAAAAAAAAATCACATACTCTCAAAAAAGAAAAAAAGTTCCTAAAAAATCGCAGATGATCGAGTCTCTATTGTACATTGTATCTAAAACCTCCACTGAAAAAAAAAAAAAAAATTACAGTGCTGAAAACTATGTGATGACTTCATGATGACACCTTCGTCGGAACTGCCCCTGCAATCAATTTCACGCTCTAACCGTGATAAGATAATTCCGAGGGCGGTTAAAATAAACGTTCTGAGACCATTGCACATTTTTTGACAACCAGGGTGTTAATTCAACACCCTAAATTTTTTCGGAGTTGAAACCTGGGAATACCTAATAGAAGCAAACATTTTATCGTTGAAAATCCGGGGAAAAAATCCGGAGCAAGTTTCACTCCAGAGCGAATTTTGTCACAAGTGGTACAGTGAAACCCTGGTGAAAATCGGCGATAGGAGCGGCGTTTCAAAATACCATAGGAGTTCTTATAGCCGACTAAAGAAGGATATTGAAAATCCTATAGCTGGCTGTAGAAAGCGGAGCAAATCACATGGCCGGGCTGTACGAAGCTATAAAAAAAGTATACAGTCGGACTATAGTTCCTATCGCCGGGCTTTACACTTTATCGCCATTGGCTATAAAAGGCTATAGGAAATTGTGTAGAAATACGTGTGCTTTGGAAATCATTAAGTTTGATACGGAACTACCTTAATATTCACAAATCACACATTATATTTTCCTTTAAAACATAATTTTTTTCATCAATTAAAATGAGAACAATCCATACAGAGTGTGCAAACATTTCAAAATCATGAGTTGGAAAACGCTGACTCCGCGAGATTAAATATTAGAGCCTAACACAAACGGAGCGGCGACGCACTGGCGCCTACAAACCTAACAGGGATACTTCACGCATTGCGCAAACGCGCATTGACGCCTACAAACCTAACTGGGATACTTCACGCATTGCGCAAACGCGCATTGACGCCGACAAACCTAACAGGGATTCCCTACAGGGAAGTATCTCTGTTATTAGTAACGTTAGTAACGTTGTTATAGTTGCGTATTTAGTAATGTTTAGCATAAACTTTATCGTCTAGCTGTTGCTTAATCGCCATCGGCTATGAAAGGCTGTAAGAAATTGTATAGCCGGCCACAGAAGCTATTGGAAATCTTACAGCCGGCTTTAGATCTATAGTATTTTGGAACACACATTCTACTGCCAATTTTTACCAGGGAACAAAAGTATGAACACAGAATTGCAATTTTCTTTTTACTTGAAAAAGTGCATTATTTTAACAAAAGTTGGTCAATAAATACTGATTTTAAAAGATAAGTCACAATATGTTTCACGCATTGCGAGAATAGGCTATTTTCAATGCTAAAAAATCTTGCAACTTATTTCAACTTTCTCGTTATGGAGAATTTGCAAGTGTCTATAATTAGATGTACTGATTCGTGCGTGTACCTACGTGTTTAAATGGAAACATCAAGCAGTTTTCCAAACTTTGACGGTACGCTAGGAACTTCAAGGTTACGGGAGAAACGGTCTTTCGTAGAGAAACTGCTTTGAAAGTTCATTTTTCAGAGTTTCTTCGATTTGTTCTGTATATATGTTGGGAATGGGAATACTTGTTTTTATGCGTAATTTATTGGACTAGTTTTCAGCCAATATTTAAATCAAGCTCGTCTCAATCAAGTATCGTTAATAATTAGGCTTTGACATTAAAAACTGCAAATACTGATTATTTTAACGACATTTGCCATTGATTTAAACGTAAAAAATTCACACCAGATGAAGATAGTCAAAAAGTCCGTCCAATCGTAAAACGCATCATACTTTTAAACTGGTAAACTTAGCGCTCTCCACCTCTGCACTCTGTCGCATTTTGCAAGTTTTTTAATGACGCCTAAGTACTAAATTCAGCAATTATTTAGAAAAAAAAACCAAGAAATTAAAGAACTAAGTAATAAATAAATATGTTTTCGCGAAAAAAATATTTTCTAAGGGAGCAGACGAGTGCGCTATACAACTATTGTGACGGTTACATGGATAAAATTGTATGGTCTCAAATACATAGTTCCTCGTTGAATTTTTGGATTAAACTAAAATACTTTTGGAAGTTCTTTAGACAGTGAAAGTTATAGTTATGTATGGCATTTTTGTTCTTTTATCATCAAGATTTTTTCACTGCATTTTTTATTGATCTCATAATTTTTGGCATGTGAATTTTTTTATCGATCTAATTGATTTTGTTTTTGACATTATTTTTTCGTGGTGTCTATTTTGATTTTTCTATTGCAGTAATTCATTTTTCTCTTACTTTTTGATTTGGATAATTAATTGAATCATTTAGGTAAGCTTCAAGCATTGGTGTGGCAAATTTGCGGATTATATTGTAAAATCAGTAAAAAGAGAGCGAAATAACGAGCACATTCCGCCATAAACTATTTTCAAGTCAAGTCGTCAGGAAAAAAAATTGATGGAAAAAAACTACACTAAGAGAAAGCAAGGTCGATGGAAAAAATTCTTATCTTACAGACACGAATTTCCACTATAAAAATATTCCTTCAACATTTCTGGCATAAATGAAAAAACAAATAAGAGGTCCCGTAAAATTGAATCTGTTTCGAAATTCCATAGATTAACCCTCTACTGCATGGAATTTTTATGCGACGCCGATTTTGATGGAAAAAATATATGTTATAGAAAAATGGAATTAGAACGACACGTCTTTGAGCGTTTTTCGAGATTTTAAATTTTTCTTAAGAACACAAAACCATAACACTTTCCTCGTAGAGTACCTTAACGAAACTTACAAAATTATTAATTACCTTGATGATTCTGATATAAAATTCGATATCGAGATTTCATAGATTTACCCTCTCCTACGTGGAATTTTTTTGCGATGCCGATTTCCATGGGACAAATATGTTATAGAAGAATGAAATTAAAAAGACACGTCTTGGAGCATTTTCGAAATTTTAACTTTTCCTTCAAGACACAAAACCATAAAATTTCTCTCGTAGAATACTACCTTGCTAAGGAAGAACGCCGCATGAGCATTCAGACGTTGCCAAGTTTCCTCCGATAAAAACCGAATTTACTGGGAAAATTGCTAATATTATTTTCCCAAATTTTCAGACAATTTTGAACGCAATTCAATCTAATATATCTGAAACTTTCAAGGACAAATATGCATGAACGTTCTAAAAAATACATATTTTATCAAGGGAAATTTGGCAACTCTCGAAGGTTCATACGGCGTTTTTCTTTAGCAAGGCAGAATACATTAACGAAACTTACAAAATTAACATTACCTGGATGATTCGATATAAAATTACGTACGCACTCGGAGGGTCGGACGGGACGGAAGTACACACGCAAACTCACACGGCGAAACCACGTTGGGCACTGAGGCCCGCAGTCCGACGACGCTCTGGTTCGTAAGAGCGCCACGATCGTCCGCAACCGCGCATACTCGCGCCGCCCCTTCCCCGCCCCTGACCAGGCGGAAATGCAACCCGCAACCCAACCCACGACTCGCCCCGTCTCACAATCGGAGATGAAGTTATCGGTGTATATGACTACAACCTGTCGCTTCCCCTCCCCCCGCCCCGATGCATCTCGAGACGAAATATCTCAGCCGCCGCCTAAGCAATGAAAAATGAGTGGGCCGAGCCACCCAGTAAACCAATGTTGCTGCAATGTTACAGCAGTGTTGCGAGGGATGGGGATACATTTTGCCCTGCTGAAGAATAGCACAGTTCTGCCGTGCTAAGGAAATACGCCGTATGAACCTTCAGACGTTGCCAAGTTTCCTTCGATAAAAACCGAATTTACTGGGAATATTGTGAATATTTTTTTCCATAATTTTCAGACAATTTTGTACACAATTAAATCTAAAGTATCTGAAAATTTCAAAGAAAAATATGCATGGACATCGTCAAAAATATATATTCCAGTAAGGGAAATTTGGCAACTTTCGAATGTTCATACGGCGGTTTTCCTTAGCACGGCAGAGTTGCTGGGAAGAGCAAGTTTTCAGGGAAAATCGACCTTAGCTTTAGTTCGATTACATGGCGTCGTATTGACCAGGGTGCCAAAATTGCATGAGAAATGAAACCTTGAAATCATCTACACGTGAAATATTTCATGGAATTTCAGAAATTTATGAAAGATAATGAATAAACCCGGTTCCTTTACATGTTTCGCGAAATGCAAAAATTGTGACTTTCTTCTGTTTTTGTGTGTTTGAGTGCGGGTCTCATACTCTAGCCCCTGAAAAACATAACATATTTCACAGCCTCGTGAAATTTCATGAAATATTTCACTGAAATTTCCAATCTTTTGTTTCTTTCTTACGTTTCATGCCACCCTGTTAATGACTGGTTTCGTACTTTCTCTTCAACTTTTTTCCCCTGGTAAAAATTGGCGATAAGAGCTGCGTTTCAAAATACCATAGGAATTCTTATAGCCGGCTAAAGAAGGCTACAGAAAATCATATAGCTGGCTGTAGAATGTGGAGAAAATCATACGGCCGGGCTATACGAAGCGATAAAAAATTATGCAGCTGGGCTATAGTTCCTATCGCCGGGCTTTACACTTTATCGCCTGACTGTTGCTTTTTCGCCATCGATTATAAAAGGCGATAAGAAATTGTGTAGAAATTCGTGTGCATTTGGAAATCATTAAGTTTGATACGGAACCACCTTAATATTTACAAAACACACATTATATTTTCCTTTAATACATATCTTTTTTTATCAATTAAAATGAGAATAATCTATACAGGATGTGCAAACATTTTAAAATCGCATGAGTTGAATAACGCTGACTCCGCCTGATTAAATATTAGAGCCTAACACAAAGCGGAGCGGCGACGCACTGGCGCCTACAAACCTAACAGGGATACTTCACGCATTGCGCAACGCGTGAAGTATCCCTGTTAGGTTTGTAGGCGCCAATGCGTGTTTCGCGCTGGCTGCCCGCCTGCCACGGCGCTTGAAGCAACTATTTCACACCAGAGGTATTGCACAGTATCATACGAAACTGAAGGTGCTCTAATATATTAGTAATGGCAGGCATCCATCAAAAGTACGGAGCTTTCCTCATAAATCATAAAAATAAATCAAGATACTACGGCCCAAAAAGAGAGCAGTATTCCAAAAACTCACTAAGTCCTAGCATCCGTAATTAGTAACGTTTAGTATACACTTTATCGCCGGGCTGTTGCTTAATCGCCATCGGATAAAAGGCTATAAGAAATTGAAATTGGAATATAAAAATGGGGACGAATATGAAAGGGCATTGATATAGGAGCAACATTATATCACCCTTAATAGCTTGATTTTTAATCAAGAGGGCGCCTTTCGGTGACGTGGCGTCTCGTGTCTCTCTTCGGAAAGTGGGCACTTTTCTTGGCGCCTCATCCCAACAGGAGGCCTCTTCGCGGCGATGACCGCATTGTTGTATCTTTTAAAATTACCCAATCAACAGTGTAGCAGCGTAAATTGGTCGGTATTTCGATTGCACAGATCATTATTTGGACGTACTTTTGTCAAACGGAACTATGTGCGCTAAGGCATGAGCCCTGAGATGCATAAGAATATATGCATAATTGGGCTCACGTCATAATGCACATAGCTCCGTTTGACGGAAATACGTCGACCCCTTTGATGAAAAGTGTTGGCGAATATAAAACGCCTTCATTGCGAAATGATACTTCCTCTTGTAGAGGCTGATTAGTTGCATCATTTCGAAACCCGATCAACGGTGGAGCGGCGCACGGTGGACTGGGTCAATAGGAAAAGTCGGACAAAATTTGGAAACTTTGAAAGCTTATCACTCCATTCAATCAAAATCTTGAGATTCCGAAAACAATTCCATTGGTTTTCTCGTAAAATTTTCATTTCGAAGCACCCCTTAACGTTTAAAATATGACGGAAAATACATCAAAATTTGCAGTTTTAGCCGAGAATGTCATGTCCGACCTCTCTAATTGGCTCGATCCACCGTGCGGCGTGGATTCTTGAGTGACGCAATGCGGTTGCTTTTGGAGTATTATTGAATGAAAAGTGTTGGCGCCTTAGAAACGCCTTCATTTTGAAAAAATACTTCCCAGCGTGCATCGTGGAATATTTTCAACTAAGTTGTGATCTTGGTGGCAGGTTTTCGTAATAGGATGATGCTACCACAGCAGGAAGGCATTTTTAATTTCATAAAAGAATTCTTAGTGCCACTTTTATAAAGTTGAAAGATGCTTCCCGAAATTGTCTAAACAGCTCCTTGATTGTTGAATCGTTATCGAATGACCTTGATCGATATATAGCATTGTTAAGATAGGGATTTATCGATTAGAAGCATTCGATAACGATTCAACAATCGACCCGCAGAATAAAACTTTATCAGGGACGTGGGCACTCTCTTAGCAACATTGGCGGATCCAGCAAATTGGCAACGTTGTCTTTTCTCCATTTCAACCACTGGAAATATATCGATTCTTGGAGGGGCCAGGTACTCCGACAAGAATCGATAATGCAGCATAGGATTAAATGGAGAAAATTCGATGTCGCCGAATTGCTGGATCCGCTTCTGCTTAGCAACGAATTGTCCCGTGGAGTGCGGGCCTACTATTCGTGACAAACCGCGCAGGCCCGCCACAAGGGGGGGGGGGATACTGGGTCCCTGGTACCGGGGCCCGGGCCCCGGAGGAGGCCCGTGTAACCCGTGAAAAACCACTACGAATTCACATGCAACCCTTGTTACCCTTGTCTACCCTTATTAAGAAAAAGTGAAAAATTTACCCTAAAAATTTCGCAAAAGGTGAATAGATTTTCAGAAACATGCCGGGGCACTGAAGAATTCTTCTTAAATTTTCAAAGAAGTATACTTCTTGGAAAAGGTCTATCTATTTTCAAGATTTTCAGTACAGACGGATATGTTTAGTAACTGCGTTTCATTTTCTTCCGTCGTCAGATGCTAAGAGTCTCCAGTCTGGGCATCCTCGACTTCAATGGCTCATGGCTCAACTCCCTTGCCATAGACAAACGAAGAGGGAGTCCAGGGGGGCCTGGCCCTCATAGAACTGAAAATAGTATCATATGCCCCCCCCCCAAAAAAAAAAATAGAAAATTTTTCAGATGTTTCGAATGCAACAATTCGCAAGTATTTTGTGCTGAAAGTGTATAAAAAACAAAATTATTCCGGAGAAATTAATGGAAAAATTCTTTATGGAAGCTTCAAAATCCGTCTAGTCGTATAAATTCTAAAATTTCTCGGGGGATGCCCCTCGGACCCCCCCCCTCCGTGCTTGGGGCCCGGACCTTAAAACTGGTACCAGGGCCCGAGATGGTATGTGGCGAGTCTGCATGAAGGCTATTTCCCTTTAAATCTTCCGTCACATTCATACGGCGCAATGATGAAACTATTTGAACTCTCCGGAATGCGTGAGGTATCACGCCGCATTTGAAGGCGTTTTCAAAACAGCCAAGTACCGTTATCGGAATAATCGTTTTGCATAGTTCATATTCTTTTGTTATATTCCGTGCCACTTGATTACTTTTAATCCTCGTAGAAAAACCACCCATTTGTAAATACAATTCTAGCTGAAGTGCACTTCAGCTATGCATTCACCACTGCAAAAGTTTCAGAGGAAATCGACAAGCCCAGCGTGCATGGAGGCTATCTCCATTTAAATCTTCCGTCACATTCTTACGGCGCAATGATACAACTATTTGAACTCTCCGGAATGCGTGAGGTATCACGCCGCATTTGAAGGCGTTTTAAAACAGCCAAGTTCCGTTGTCGGAATAATCATTTTGCATAGTTCATATTATTTTGTTTCCATTTCTAACCACTTGTTTAATTATAATCCTCCTATAAAAACCACCCATTTGTAAATACAATTCTAGCTGGAGCGCACTTCAGCTATGCATTCACCACTGCAAAAATTTCAGAGGAATTTTTCAGAGTAAACACCACCAACCAACACCACAGTATTCTTATAATGTATACATCATGTACATACCAACACGAATTAAAAAGGTTAACGCCAAACTGAACGACTCAATGGTGATTGTGAATGGTAGCCGACAACGATAAATTACAATACAACGATTAAAGCGCGCAATGCGTGAAGTATTCATGCAGTCTTGTAGCCGCAATGTGAGCTTTAGGCTAACTAACCGACTGCACTGCGTTTGGCGTAATGTGAGAAGTATTTATGCAATCTAGTAGGCGCTAATGCGTTCCACGCTGACCTCACTGTTTGGCGCAATGCGTGCAGTATTCCTTCGGCCTTGCAGGCGCCAATATCCTTGCGACCGCCTCTCCGCGGATCCGCTCACTTATCGGAATGCGTACGTAGTTACATGGTTGCAAAATCGATCCGGATAATCCAGAGTCCGGATAATACGAAGCCGGATAACCCAGAGTCTACTGTAGTGTGTCACTGACGGGCCCCGGCACCAGGGACCCAGAACCCCTCCCCCCCTCCCTTCCCCTTGTGGCGGGCTTGTAATAAGCACGTGTTTGAAGTTTCGAAATTACATGGATCCTTATAGCGGAGAGAAAGTTCAAACTGACTTTTTGATGCATACAAATTGGAATTTGGGAGCGAATTTTTCACAGAATACACATCAAGGCAACTTTTACTTGAAATCATTAATATCTCAGTTTTTTTTAAAAAAAACTGCACTTATGCGCTTTTTCCTCTAAGCCTCTCAGTTCTAGTTTCTTCCCGTTTAATGTTTGGATCAGAATATTATAAATTTATTGAATTTTTCATTTGCACTCGCTCTGCTTTCCTCCCTTCGAATCGGATATTTCGTAATCATTGCATCACTTTAAACACCTTTGCATTCAGTGGCTTTTGTTGAACATTGTTGAATGAAAAAATAATTGGTTTCAGGCTGCAAGGCGTAAATCATATATAATTTTCTGTCTGAAAATACCTACTCACATTTCCCAAATAGTGGGGACGACC